CTAATGTTATGATCTGAAGTCTAATCAAGTCAAGGTTTACATTAGTTACATCACTTCCTATGCACAAATATACACACAAATCAGGAGCACCAGTAGGATACAAACTTTTTTTTTTCCCCCCGAATTTACATGATAATCATGAATACCATATTTCTTGTATAAACGCACATACGAATGAACCCATTCGTACCCAGCTTGATAAACAAGGTAAACAAGTTTATGGAAAGGCAAAGGTGATCTTTTGGTTTCCTTGTTTGTTATACACACAAGGACACGCAAAGACACTTTTGTAGGAAGATTTTCTAATGAGCTTCCCTTTCATTTTCACCACACGCTCGTGTGTTTTTAAAGGATGATTAATCCATGAAACCATGATATGTTTAGACTACGATAAAAACTTCACCTTTAAGTAATACCTTTATTCAAGAATAACTTGTAAAGTTGTGTATATATGCACTATAGCTAGCTCAGGGACAGTAAAGTGTACCAGATATCACTGATATTAAATTAACGACTTTAAAAATGAGCAAGTGGACATCACAAGTATAAAATCCATAAACTTCATACTGGCTGAAGTGTGCTCTTTCATTCCTACATAAATGAAGAAGTTTCATAAAAGATAAGAAGTTTTACAAGATCATAGGCTCTGTACATTATGATGTGTAAATAATAGCTGAGAGGAACTTGCTGTGGTTTATGATTGCTCGGTCATCACAAGGGCATGAACTCTATTAGCTAACATGCTAACTAGTGAATGTTAAGGGACAACGACATTATATTTGGACACAGCATAACTTGTTATTATGTTTATTTTATACCAAGCCAGTTTTATGGACAGAGACAGTTTTGAAAACTTTGCCTAAACCACTTAAAGTCCATTTTACTGACCGGCTAAAATGTAGCTTCTCTAGAATCCAAGCAACACCAGAGAGCAGCTAAGAACAACAGAAATGAATACATATATATTTCTTTTTTAAAAGGAATCACACACTTACCCGTACACTGAGGACCTGTTCGTGCTAAGCTCCTGATGCCGGCTGCAGAAACACGAATAACGGCAGAAAACATGATGATGTTCGCCTGCCGAAAGGTTAACTACTCGAGCACACAGGCTAAGGGAAGGGGAAGACACTGTGGTGTGCGCATGCGTGTAAAAATGCGGCGCGTGCGTAATGCGCACTCAGGAATGGCAGGCACGTGGAGGCAGAGACAGGACGCCGCAGTGATGGGGATGGAGTTGCCAGATTCGCCGTTTTCGCGTCAGATTTGTGGCTCTCGTTTTTGAAAATGCGGAAGCGGGTGAAAAAAAAAACAAAACAAAAAAAAAAACTTTGAACAATTGAGGGCCCTAAGCGATATCTTACTCAGGGCCCATATCCTGGGAACACTGGGGTGAGGCGGGAATACACACTGAATGGGATGCCAGTCAATCACAAAGCACACCATCCACACATGCATTCACTCTCATTAACACCTGTGGGCAGTTGCTCATAGCCAGTTGATAGCCAGTACCTGCATGTTTTTGGGAGGTGGAGGAAACCACAGAACCCGGAAGAAACCCACACGGACACATGGCATTTAATCTTACTAAATATAATCTTGGGTGGTACGGTTGCTACACCACCATACCACTCGATATTATATTTAGATTCAAATTTGAAGGAAATTGATTAATTGGTAGCTCTGCAGCAAGTAAGCTCTCTCATTTAGATTTCGTGTATTTTTATCGCAACCTCACATAGCGCCCACTAGCTCATGCATTTATATCTGTTTGCCTCTGTAAATTTCCTAAATCAGTCTAGGACACCAGCTACTTGATGTGTTGCGGCCTGGGACAGCCCTTCACATAGTCAAACTTTGACATTTTCACTATTGTTCTGACAACTATGGGTTTTGCTGAACTAATATGGTAATATAATATAAGTAATATGTTTCTATTTGCATGTATCTCAATTGCAAGTAAAGTTCTAGCATTTTAAAGTCTGCTTACCTCCAAAAGTGAAAACAGAGAAAATTGCGTTTAAAGATTTCATTCCATTTCCACTGAAAGATACCCCAGCTACCTCTACATTTATTAATCTAATCTACTTATGGATAAACATTATTAAAATTACCAAATTGTAAATTCATTTGCGATGGGAAATGAGTTATTACTTTGATTATCAGCATCATCCACATCAGTCTCATCACCTGAGGTAAAAGTCACTCGCAGCATTTAAACATAAACATCAGTGGGGAAAAAAATCACTGATTCATTCAGTCAGTTCTGTTCTGTTGCCTGAAATTCTTGTTATTAATGTCTTTTTATTAGGTCATTTTAACAATATTGAAACTTTTTCCGCTCTCGTCTCTACAGTGTGTGTAGGCACTTTTCTCTTTTTTCATGATGATTCCGTCACATAACTAGTATCTGATTACAACTGTCTTAATTAAGCTTATATCTCTCCGAGAATGTAGCTATCCAAGGACTCAATCAAATCATGAGAAAAGCTAGGTTTTAGACATCTATAGGCAGACTGACTCTTTTTACCGGTGCATTTGTTAAACTGACTCCTTACCCAACCCGATCTTTGCAGGCAGATGGCAAGGCAAGATTAGAAAGTAGCCTCAACAAAAGTATTTCCATATAATTTTGGTTAAATATACTGTATTTATGTTTCCATTACTAGAAATGTTAAAATATTTTACTGAGAGAAAAAATCAATTTTGGTCAAACATTGTTTTTTTGTCAGTTTTGATGTAAATTCATGTTTCCTAGAATTCAGCCATAGTGAGCACTCCGACCGCATTCAGAGCCATTTAGACCACAAAACATTTATTACAGGTAGTGAGGGAAGTGTTTGTTCCTTGGGTGATTTGTTAATTCTTACATTTGCCAACCGTATATTATGTTAATTCATTCATCTTCAGTAACTGCTTTGACCGGGTCATGATGGATCCGGGTCCCGGGAGGCAGGGACACACTCTGAATGGGACACCAGTTCAACAAAGGGCACCACACACTTTATTTGTTTATTTATTTATTTATCTTAATTTATTTAATTTACTTACTTACTTACTTATTCAGAAAGTACTGACCTACATGTTAGTAAGCTCTAAAAAGCAGTTAACTAACACCAGCTCTAATCAATTTATGAGGCAACAGAAATTTTTGTTTAATCAGTGCATAAAGTTGAGATTTAAAATAGTTCAACAGAAATAAAGTGAGCCAAGCAGCATATCTAGCTATGAATGAACAATATCTTCTCATGCACGTATTCTTGAAGGGCTCTGTCGCACTCATGGAAAGCCATCTGTTCAGAGAATGACAAAACGGTTATCTCTTAGATATGATTAAATAAGACACAAGTCACACCAACAAATGATTTCATTAATATTTATACTTGGATTTAGGACCTGCATTTATTGATCTGTGTATCTATTACGTTACCTCAATAGCAAATGAAATTAAGCTTCTCATTGCAGTTTCTGTTTTCCCAGACATTAGTCTTGAAGTTGTAAGCTCCACAGCTGTACGCTTGTGCTGGACATGCTGGCAGTGATTCTGGTATCCCCAGCAGCTCCCCACTCACCCAGAACCAATCTCCATTGATGAAATGCAGGCCGGTCCACAAGCTAGAAGCTTGGATCTGCTTGGTTTCATTTTCAGGCAGGTGTAGTTGTGACATAGAGGCCAAGCCAGTGTAAAGAGTCCTACAATAGTCAAGAGCCCCTTCCCATGTCTTTTTCTCCTTAACCAAGATATCCAAGCCACTATTACAATAGAAAGGTTGACTTTTCTCACACGCTAAATCGTTCCAGCCACATGGCATCATAGACACACAGTTCTGGACTCCGTTAAAATTATTTGGCTGCAAGCTGCACCACCTAAAGAAAATATTTGGCTGTCTATTAGACCAGAGCCAAATGTCTGAATTTATTGGGCTTCTGTATAGCCCAATCCAGCCTTGATCGAAGTTTTCTTTACCCATTTTAAGATTCTGGTTTTCCTCATCAGTTGTGATGGTAGCCAGACCTCCATAATTTTGTGTGCAGTACTTGTGAGCATCAGGCCAGGTCATTGTTGTAGAAAAGTAAATGTATCCTCTCCTCAGAGCTACAGTAATCCCACAAAGGAATGGCAAAAGGAAAACAGATGTTTTCATTTCTGCAGTGGTGTTTCTCAGCTATGTAAATCTTTTTTTTGCAGGTGTCTCACTTATATAGCTCAAGTTTCACGTTTTCCTTACATTTACATTCAGCTGCTAGGAAAAAAGGCTTTTATTCAAATCTATTTACAAATGAGATAATACATAATACAAAAGAGAGTTCACATCTAACCATGAAGGTTAGAATAATTGCTAGCACTCAAGAGGGCTTATAATCTAGAAATTTAGTCTCGCTTATGTTGGATGTATGTTAATGGCTAGCAATAGCAATGTACTAGTTATCGTTTGAATCAGTATAACCTTATCTGTAGGTATAACTCAGTAATTGTAGATTAAGGAGATGGCTTGTTCATAGTCACCAACTGCATCACAGGATGGCAGGATCTGTAGGGAAGCAGTATTTGCCTTTTTAGGACATGTAGTGTTTCCGGTTTTGGGAATGATGATTAAACACTACTATATAATAACTACTCATCTCTATCATTTTTGGGACCTTGTCGCCACTGGTTCTTAAAGAGATATTTGTCTGTAAATCAGGATGAATTGTAGATCTGGGTAAGAAAAGATTGGGACAAAGAATAATATGGACGATTTGCATGTAATTGCATGCAAGGGCAAAAGATTTCAGGAGAAAGGTAGATTAGTGTGTCCTTACCAAACAAAGAGTCACAAATTTCTGCAACATTTTTCTTCCCTCTTTCAGCTGCTCCCATTCAGGGTCACCATAGCAGATCACCCATCCGCATATTTTGATTGTGGCACAAGTTTTACGCCGGATGCCCTTCCTGACGCATCCCTCCCCATTTTCCAGGCTTGGGACCTGCATTGGCTCATACAACCGTCTAGTGGCGCTTCCCTGATGAGGAATTGAACCTGGGCCATGGCGCTGAGAGCACCGCATGCTAGCCACTTGTCCACCAGGGAACGAAACTCCTGACTATCTTGAACATTTGACTGTGACATGTAAATATTTTAAAGACTTTTCACTCCAATTGTTGTCAACAATATCATTTGGAACATGGGGAGGGTTGCATCAGGAAGGGCATGTGAATGGGTGCAGCTAAAAGAGGAAAAAAAATGTTGCACGAGTTTGTGACTCTTTGTTTTTTGCCTTTTTCCTTAAATCTTTTGCACTGAATTGCCCATATTATTCGATACAAGAACTTCCAGTTCCAGTCCCAATTTTTCTGACCCAGATCTGACCCAGGAATGGAACCCAATGTGTGTCTTCTGCTGTTGTAGCCCATCCAACTCAAGGTTTGATGTTTTGTGCATGCTGAGATGCTTTTCCGCTCACCATGGTTGTAAAGAGTGATTATTTGAGTTACTATATCCTTCCTGGAAGCAGATCAGCAGTTTCTGAAATACTCAAATTAGCCCTTCTGGCACCAACAGCCATGCCATGGTTAAAGTCACAGAGATCAGGCTTGTTCTTCATGCTGATGTCTGAAGTGAACATTAACTGAAGCTCTGGACCTGTATCTGCATGAATTTTTCATTGAGCTGCTGCCACATGATTGGTGTGAATAGATATCTGCATGAATGTGCAGGTGCATAGATGTTCCTAATAAAGTGGATGGTGAGTGTATTTACTAAGTATGAACATGAACTGGATATTCAAAACCACTACACAAACTTACAGGTCTGTCACATGTCACCTAAGTGAAGCTTGGATTTGTCTGTACACTTAGATAAGTTTAGTTCATTCAAACCATTTTAAGAAAGTGATTCAATTAAAAGAATAGTTTTTGTTTTTTTTGCTAGCCACTAATCCACCAGGGAACATCCTGCAAAATAATGCAAACTAAGGCAAATCATGTTCTCGCAGCTTCTTTAAATATTTCCGACTGTGTCCGTCACTGTGGTTTGGGGTATTTTGCAAGCCACCTACAGTATGTTTGAGATTAAATAAAACTGTACTATAAAGCCTTATAAACCTGAGTTTTAAAGCATAATTCTTTTAAGGGAATCACTTTCTTAAAATGCTTTGAGTAAACTAACCTTATCAGAGTGTACAGATAAATCCAAGTTTCGCTTAGGTTTTCTGTGACAGACCTGTAATTTTGTGTAGTGGTTTTGAACATCCAGTTCATGCTTAGTAAATACACTCACCATCCACTTTATTAGGAATACCTGTACACCTGCACGTTCATGCAGTTATCTAATCAACTAATTAGATAGATTGTGCAGCAGCACAATGCAAAAAACATTGCAGATACAGGTCCAGAGTTCCTGGGATTTTCACACATAAGTCTCTAGAGTTTACACAGAATGGTGCAAAAAACAAAAAACATCCTGTGTGTGGAGGATCTGCAGGCTGAAACACCTTGTTGATAAGAGAGGTGATATCGTAAATAAGTCTATGCTTATTTAATCAAAGGTAGGGCCACAGGCATTGAACTGAAGTTCAACACTGCTGTACGGTGGCTTCCATATTCAGATGCACACAGATGGCTATAGAGCTAACTACACTGTGCAGTGAGAGAAGGTTACTGCAGATGACGAATTGGCACAATAGTTTTTTTCCACATTAATGAATTCGACTGGATGCTAAACTGAAATGAATTTTCTTGGAAATGTATTTAAATAAGAGTACAAAGATTTCAATATTACTTAAGTAAAGTATAAATATGCCAATATATAATTACTCAAGTATTTTCCACCCCGATAAAATTGGATGAGAAAAAAACATTTTTCCATACGTGCTGTGTGTGTTTTCAGTATTTGAGTAAATCTAACCTAGAGTTCCATCTACAATTCAATTCGATTCAATTTTTTTGTATAGAGCTTTTAACAATGGACATTGTCACAAAGCAGCTTTACAGAAATATATTAATTCAGGATATAGTATGCCTCAAAAAGGCAAAATGAGACATCTCTTTTGCCTCCCTAGAAGGCATGTTCTTCTTCTCATTTAAAAAACGCACATTGAGGTAAGTTTCACTAAATTGCTAACATTAACTTACCATATTGAAGTATGCTAGCCTCTTGTCTTTGCTAATTCCAAGTTAGACTAACATTGATTCCAGTAGCTGTAACATAATTTCCCTAGGCAACAAGTCAAATTTTAGCTAATGTTAAATATTGGTTATTTTATTTTTGATTGATTCATGAACAAACTACACAGAGTTACTCATACATACAACATGCAAACTTACCGAGGTTGGACGATGGTTTCAGGCAAACTGGCATAGTTCCTTTAAAATGAAAATCATCTTCTAACAGTTTTAGATAAGTAACAAAAGTTACTTTTCACATGAAAACATTACTTAGACTTTTTTTTTTTAACTTTTAATTTATTTTTTATTTTATTTGAGCACAATTTTGGCTGGATACTAAGTTTGTTTTCTTCTTCAAAGAGAAAACTTACATTGGTGAGATCTCCATGGATTTACATAGAGATCTGTGACCTGTTCATTGTGTGCTGACTTATGCAAAAGGGTTTTTTTGGCCAGTGTTTGTGAATGTGCATTTTTTTAGATAATAATAGCAATTTCTGTCCAAAATGTTGCATGAATGTTTGACGTTCTATAGTAGAACAGTACCAATAGCCACTCAGGCCTGTAACTGTACATGCCACACTTTAAAGTAGCTTTTTATGACCTTTATGTGTTCTGACAGAGCAAACAAAAGACGCATTTTCTTGGATGCAGGAATGTTTTTTTTTTTTTTTCACTTCGCATGTCAAATGTGCTGGAGTGGAAAATGACGTTATTACAACTTGCAAATTACCACTTACAAGGCTCCACGAAAGCAGCATAAATACAATGGGTTTACCACAAGATGTTAACCATTAGTAAGCTTCAAAAACAGGAAGACCAGATTAAAGATGCCAAGAACATTAAAAAAAAAAAAAAAAAAAAAAAGCCTGTACAGTTCTGGAACAACTCCTGTATACTGTGGTTGACAACTAAAATAACAAGAACTTTGTCAATGTCCAAATATTTATGGGCTTGGCTGTATAACCTATGAAGAGTTTCTGTGTATTATGTAATTTATTTATTATTCATACATAGAGGGGGGCATGGTGGCTTAGTGGCTTAGTGGCTAGCACTGTTGCCTTGCCCCCTCCAGGGTTGGGGATTCAAATCCCACCTTCACCCTGCTTGCGTGGAGTTTGCATGTTCTCCCTGTGCTTCGGAGGTGTCCTCCAGGTATTCCAGTTTCCGCCCCCATGCGCTGCAGGCTGATTGGCATTTCCAAATTGTAGTGTGTGATTGTGCCCTGCGATGGGCTGGCACCCTGCCCAGGGTGTGCCCTAAGTCCCCTGGGATAGGCTCCAGGCTCCCCCGCAATCCTGTGTAGGATAAGAGGTACAGAGAATGGATAGATTCCTACACTGATTATTCTAAATATATAGTAAGTAAAATATACACTTATACTTATGAATACTCAAGGTCAGTCTCTTCACCACAAGATGGCAGCAGTGAAAAGGTATTCTGTGGTGCTTTGTGATTTTTTTTTCTCCTTCTCAATATAGCCTACACAAAATAATAGCGTTGACCTCCATTTATTGCAATATGCCTAAATATGGTACATGCTGTTAGCTTATTAGTTCATCATTGATCAGAACTTAGACTGTTACATCATATTTTTCAACACGAATTACTCCCTTAACTGCAATGATTAATTCCACATGCCAGAATTCCAGTAAAGCTCTCGGACTGGACATGGCCAGACATAAAGTCAAACACAGCTCCCTCACATTTTATCCACGTTTTTAGTGACATCCTTAATAAAGAGATTTGTTGGGAATGCTTTCTATGAAGGCCATGTGTATAATAATCTATATCTGCATTCATAACATGTTATAATAACTGGCAGTAGACACACACACACACACACACATATATGTACATATATATATATATATACACACACACACACACACACACACACACATATATATATATATATATATATATATATATATATATATATATATATATATATATATATATACACACACACACACACATATATATATATATATATATATATATATATATATATATATATATATATATATATTTATATATATATTACAGAGTACAGTGAAATAAATTTCTTCACATAGCCTTCTTCTTCCACTTGTTATGGAGTTGGGGTCAGAGCACAGGGTCAGCCTGTCATGCAGATAGGGTTCAGGGCCCAACAGTAGCAGCTTGGCAATGTTGGAAATTGAACCCCCAACCTTCTGGTCAGTAAATGTGTTGCACTTCAAAGCAACATAATGCATTACTAATATAATGAATTGTTCATATAATGCATTATAAATAATACAGAGAGTTATAGATAATGTCAGAGAAGCTCAGTTACAGAATTATGTTTAGTTATAGACACGCTCAGACCTATTTCTTATTGTGTACATATCACCTCACCAGACATTATATTACTTTTTAATGCATTGTAACATGTAACAAGATATATTTTAAAAATGATAATTAAACCTACATCATTTACAATACTACATTTCTTACAATTGCCTCAATCCCAAAATTGCACTGTAAGTATCAGATAAAACACTGAATAATAAACTGTTGACTATACAGACATTGAGCAATAAACAATGAATAATAGACTGTTTAAACTGAAATGGAGTGTCTCTGCTATGCGCATTATAATGTGTTACAAACACAATAAACATTGCCATAAAGTGTAATGTATTTTCATAAATAATTATAACAAAGTGTATAATGACATATGAAAGCATTAACATGTTATGAACGTGTTCACAGTTCATTATATATATATATATATATATATATATATATATATATATATATATATATATATATATATATATATATATATGTATATTGCCTTCATAGAATGTGTTAACAAATTGCTTTTGGTAGTTTGGTGTATCATTTTCCCTTTTACATTTCAAATGATGAGTTTAAGAGGTCGCATTAAGGTAAACT